CGAGTCTGGAAGAGATCAAAACTCTCCTCATTTCCTTTGAGCAATGTATGGAGAAGCGGTTGACTGTGGAGCCCATTTCTTTACCTCAAGCACAGTTTAGTGCGCTGAATCTTGATGAAAGGAACTCCAATCGACCTCCTACGCACAACACTGGATAGCGTTCCTTCTCAAACGGCCGGCAGGACAGGAAACCATGGCCGTCGCACTCTGCTAGACCTGATGAACCCTACCGCATCTCTGGGCTTCAGCCAAGCATTCTGGGTCACAGCCCACATGCACACTCTGGCCCAAAAAATTGTGGGCCCAATTTTAGGGCAAAACCTAGGTGTCAACTATGTCATAAGGTTGGTCATATCACAGCCCAGTGTTTCAGACTATTAGAGTATAGTCAACAGGCTCATGCTCAAGCTCACACCTCACGGATCTCAGGCCCTTTTGATTTGGGTCAACCCATATCTGACCCATACACTCTGCTGACTCCTCTAGGGCAATCACACCTCTCTTTTTCATCTCCTTCCTTAGCGTCGTTATCTCATGCAAATCCATCCGACTGGCTTCTCGACTCCGGCGCCACCCACCATATGACCCCTTTGCTGAACAACATCATTCCTACGGTTCCCTATCAAGGTCAGTCACATGTTCTCCTAGGTAATGGTTCTTCTGTTCCTATACATTTTTTCAGCATCAAATCTCTTCTTCTTCATCCTCAATCGATTGTTCTCAAGGATCTTTTACATATTCCTCATATGTCTCATAATTTGCTGAGTATTTCTCGCTTTTGCTCGGATAACAACGTAACTATCGAGTTTAACTCTTCCTCTGTTTTTGTTAAGGATCGAACAACCTCTCAAGTTCTTCTGCGAGGGAACCTTGATAATGGCCTCTACCAACTTCAGTGTTCCTCCCAGCTCTTGTCTACACAGTCATCTTCTCCGAGTTCCAGTGATGTCATTTCTTATTTTTCGAGTAGCCCCAGTTCTTTATTTAGCAATGCTCTTAGATAGTTTTAATTTGTGGCATGCCCGACTGGGACATCCTAGTTAGGATACTTTGTCTTGTCTTTTTAGTCGTTGTAATTTTATTATTCTTAGAGAAACTACTATGAATCTCTGTACTGCTTGTGCACTGTCTAAACGTCACCGATTACCTTTTCCTTTATCTTATCATCGTGCTACAAAAGCGTTTGATTTAGTTCATGTTGACTTGTGGGGACCTGCCCCTATGTCATCTGTTAATGGTTAAGATACGTTTTGCTAATTGTAGATGATTTTTCTCGTTTTGTTTGGATTTATTTTCTGAAAACGAAAGATCAAACTTACTCTGCATTTTATATGTTCTATAACCTTGTTCGAAACCAATTTTCTGCTACTATCAAAATTGTTCATTCTGACTGGGGAGGTGAATTTCGCCCTCTACACAAATGGTTTACCTCTGTTGGTATTCATCATGAAATCTCCTGTCCCTATACCCCCCAGCAAAATGGCCGTGTTGAGCGTAAGAATCAACATGTTGTTGAGTTGGGCATCTCCCTCCTCAACCATAGTGGTGTTCTTTCTTCTTTTTGGCTTTATGCCTTTCATGAAGCTGTGCTTATTATCAATCTTCTTCCTTCCAAACCTCTACAATTTCATGTTCTTTTTGAAGTTCTTCATGGTCGCCCAGCTGACTACACCACTTTTCGTGTCTTTGGTTGTGCATGTTTTCCTTTTCTCAAGTATTATTCTACTCACAAACTAGAACCTAGGTCTAAACAATGTACTTTTTTGGGTCACAATATCTTCCATAAAGGCTATCTTTGTTTGGATCAAACTTCCAGAAAAATCTATATTTCTCAAGATGTTTTGTTCAATGAGGCTGTATTTCCCTATCTGTCATCTTCTTCTACAGTCTCTCCCTCTACTTCCTCAGTCCCCACCTCTCCATTCCTTCCCCTTGTGACTCCAATTTCCCCAGTTCCTTCTCCTTCTTCCTCACATTCTCCTTTGACTTCAGATTTCAGGGCTCCTATGTCTTCCTCATCTTCCAGTTCTGACAACTCTCATTCTCTTTTTGATCCTCCCACTCCCTCTCCCCAGTCTCTCTCAGCCTCTCCATCTATTCCCATTCCTTCTATCAAGCTTGTTACTAACCAACATCCTATGACAACCCGTTCCAAATCTAGCATCTTTAAGCCTAAGACTTTTCTAGCTCATTTGGTTCCTCTTCCTATTGAACCTCAATCTGTTTCAGAAGCTAAACACAGCCCCCTTTGGCAGGATGCCATGCAACAAGAACTCAATGCTCTCCATAATAACAGCACTTGGATTCTTGTCCCCCCTCATTCTTCCCATAAAGTGATCAATTCTAAATGGGTTTTTAAGGTCAAACTCAAATTTGATGGCTCTCTTGAGCGTTACAAAGCTCGTATAGTAGCTAAGGGTTTTAATCAAACTCCTGGGATGGACTATTTTGAAACTTTTAGTCCTTTTGTTAAACCAACTATTATCCGTATGGTTCTCTCATTGGCCGTTTCATTTAGTTGGCCTATCCACCAACTTGATGCTCACAATGCCTTTCTCGATGATGATCTCACCGAAACAGTTTTCATGTCCCAGCTCCTTGGTTTCGAGGATGCTCAGCATCCTCACCATGTTTGTAAATTACAAAAAGCTTTATATGGCCTCAAACAGAGCCCTCGTGCTTGGTATGTGAAACTCAGCCAGTTCCTTACCCATTTAGGTTTTTGCAACTCTAAATCTGATTCCTCTCTATTTTACAAAAATTCCTCTGGTTCTTTCTTTCTTCTGCTAGTAAATGTTGATGATATCATTGTTATTGGCTCCTTTGAATCTGCAATTCAAGAGGTCATCCATTCTCTTCACAAAGCTTTCTCTATCAAAGATCTTGGTCCCATTTCCTATTTTCTTGGCATTCAAGTTACTCGAGGCCTGGATTTTCTTCATTGTTCACAGGAAAAATATATCAAAGATCTGTTAAAAGGGCTGGTTTATCTCAGTGCAAACCTATGGCCACTCCTCTTGCCCTGCACATTAATTTGTCCCTCTTTGATAGTGATCCCTTATCCGATCCTACTCAATATCGGAGTCTTATTGGCGCTTTACAGTATTGTACTCTTACTCGCCTTGATATTAGCTTTGCTGTTAATAAACTATGTCAATTCCTTCATGCCCCCACCACCATTCATCTCCAAGCTATCAAACGTCTACTTCGAAATCTTAAGGGAACTTCTACTGATGGACTCACTTTTACTGCTGATCGCTCACTGGTTTTAATAGCCTACTCTAATTCTGACTGGGCTGGCTGCCCTTGATGATCGTAAAAGCACTAGTGATTACTGCATTTTTCTTGGCCTAACCTCATCTCTTGGTCCTCTAGTAAACAGAAAGTTGTCTCTCACTCTAGTACTGAAGTTGAGTATCAAGCTGTAACTAATGTTACAGCTAAACTTATGTGGATTGAGTCTCTTTTAAAAGAGTTAATGATCTCTCTTCAGTTTTACCCCTGTGATTCTCTGTGATAATGTTAGTGTTGTTCATCTTTCTGCTAATCCTGTTCTACATTCTCGTGCTAAACATGTGGAAATTAACTATCATTTCATTCGTGACAAAGTTGTTAATGGCTCATTTCATGTTCAGCATATTTCTACCTCTGATCAACTTGCTAATACTTTACCAAAATCGTTGTCTACACAAAGTTTTCTTACCTTTCGCAGCAAGCTTTCAGTGCTTCCTAAGCCCTGTAAGCTTGATGGGGGATGTTAGCTAATATGTGCTATTCTTCCTGGTTCTGGACCACCAAGCCACCTGGGGCTTTCATCATAGAACACCTGACATTGGACCACCACTTCCTACTGGCACAGCCATCCTCCATGCTCTTTTATTCTCCACTCCTCCAGATTCCTTTTGTAAATATTTTGTATCTATTTGGTGTACATTTTGTATATATACACAATCAGCTATTCTTTGTAGTTCAAGTTTTGGAGGATTACCCATTGTAAGAACTCTCGAGTATTGTATCAAGAGTCTCGCATTATTTCTTCTTCTTTATTGAAATCTCTTATTTCAGCTTTTATGCTCAATTCCAACAATAGTTGATTTTGGCTTAGATCAATCAAGCTCAAATTGGTAAACATGCTGAACATCTCTGGAATTATTCCATGAAAACTATTAAAGCTTAAATGTAACACTAGCAAGGATCTAGCAGTAGTTGCCAAACATGGGGGAATTCTGCCATTTAAGTTATTATCAGACAAATCAAGTAGCCGGAGAAAATTATTACCCCAAATGGATGGGGGAATCTCTCCAGTCAACTTATTTCCTGTGACATTATAGAAATAAATGAATTTTGGAGGAAGAGGAAGTGATCCTTGTAATAACCTGCTGGAACGAAGTTCCAAGGACACTAGGTTTTGCCATGGAATTACAGTAGGATGCTTTTCAAATCCTGTAAGAATGTTGCTACTTGCCCTGAAAATGCTCATAGTTTCTTTACTTGAATTCCACAACCAAGTAGGTATTAGGCCCTGGATTTGGTTATCAGAAAGGTCTAGAGCTACCAACTAATCTTGAAACTCCAAAAACTCGGGAATTTCTTAAAATTGCACTCTGCTAGAAAAAGAAACTTAATCTTTGGCAAAGTAACATTATTAGTAATCTTCTCTGAGAGCACAGTTAGTTTGTTTGACTCTAAACCAAGGCAATACAAATTTTGGAGCTTAAGCAAAACACTCATCTCAACTTTACCACCAAAGTTATTTGAGCTCAGTGGAAGAAATCTAAGAAGCTTGAGCAAATAGAATGAGCTAGGAATTGGGCCATGCACGTGATTGCTCACAATATTTAGAAAATTCAGTTTAGTGAGATTAAAAAGCCAAGATGGGATTGTATTAACTAACTGGTTGCCAACAAAGTTCAAATTAGAAAGTGAAGTCAGGTTTGAAAGAAACATTGGGATCTCACCCTGTAAATTACAATTTTCAAGATCCAAATAAGAATGTTTAGCTAGCTGACCAAGTGCAAGTGGTATTGGACCTGGGAGAAATTGATTTTCATGAAGTGATATATGAGTCAACTATGACATGTTTGCAAAGAAATGAGGTATATAACCAGATATATTATTGCATAAAAGGTCCAAATATGTGAGCTGGGTCAAATTATCCAATGAGTTAGGTAATGCGCCAGAGAAACAACAACTGCTAAGATCCAAGACCTTAAGGGGACTTCTATAGTGAAAATTTGCCAAATAACTAGAAATATTTGGATTTTGGCTAACCGTTAGGAATTGTAACTTTGGTAGTAGGAAAATGCCTCTTGGGAATTCCCCAGAAAATTTAGAGTTGAGGAGGTCAAGATGGGTTAGCCTAGGAAGACTCCCAATTGTGGAAGGAACTTTAGAGTAATTGAAATTGTTGCCAGCAAGGTTGAGTCGCCGCAGATGAACGAGTCTGAAGAGGCTCCTGTTGGAGTCGATGGAACCATAAATAAAGCTGCTACTGATATTGAGCCCAATCACATGACCTGTTATCTCATCACATTTGATGCCATGCCACGAGCAGCAATTGCCATGCTCACCTTCTATCTTCCATGATTCCATTTTTGGATAAGCAGAAGGGTCTTCAGCTGCAAACTTTTCAATTGAAAAACCAAGCTTGAATTGTAACAAGGCTGACCTCTCATCTTCATGGCATAATGGCTGCACAAACAAGACTGAGTTAGTCATCAAAACATGAGACAAACATAACACAAGAAAAATTGAGTGCATGGCGATGTAACCAAACATATTTGACTACATATTACCTTGAGTAATTTTGGATGAGTAAGCTTGCGCAGGAGTGATATGCCTTTATATAGAGAATAACTATAGAAGCCAAGTCAAGTAAATATTAAAAAAGGCTTATGGAGCGCAAACTTTTAATGAAAGTTAAGGGATGAGGGGGACAATTGGGAGAGATTACAAGGAAGACATGAATATTTAAGTCATTGATCTGTTGTTCTTATTACTATACTGTAATTATTATATGGGTCAAAAAAGACGAGAAGCCTTGGGTCAACGATCAGTCTGCTCTTTTATTACCAAAATCACATGGGTCCAAGGCTCAAAAACACAGGCAACTCTTTCCTCACACGGTTAGATTAATTTTTGAGTATATTCCTTTAGAGAAGGGTCATAGATTATAGTCATGGCAAGAGGTTGTGGGGGAGTTATTTGGGTAGAAAGCTCTGCCAGAAGGAGCTCGTCTTCTTGGATGAGTGATTCTAATTCAGCAACATTGCCATCGTAGGATGCTTCGAAGAGCCTTCCATTGTCTGCTTCTCCACTCATATCAGTTAAGTTTGCCAAGTTTCTTTCTTTCTTGCATATGTTGCTGCAATTTTGGATTGGAAAATTTGGGGCTGTATAAATTTCAATTACTTTATAGTTTTTTTCTTATCTACCTATTCGCGTGGATAATAAAGATAAATTCTCTTTTGACTTTTTTAATAAGAAATTTTAAAATATATATATATTTAAAAATTATATATCACATATATTATTAAAATATATCAATTAAATACTTTTTATATTATTTTTACCATCTTATATGATCAAATAACAAAATTAGTCACTTTTTCTAAACTCACTTTTTCAAAAATTTAGTTTTTTAAATTCACCTTTCTAGTACCTCCATTTTAAATTTTATTTTTAATTATATATTTCTTTTCCCAGCCAATTCATCATTCTATCTACTTTGTTTCATGGTTACCCCACCTGAGATGAAAATGACTTAAAAGACCAACCATAACACATATATCACAAATAAAAATTATAATACTTTCTATATATTTTATAAAAAATATTTTATGAAATGTGGGTCTAGCCCCATAAGTAAAAGGGGGGAAGTCCCCATGTGCTATAAACAAAGCCAAAAGACTTCATATGCTTGCATTAATTAGGTGAGTTGTAAATGGAGTATCAAAAGAAGATTCGTCAGTTGTAATGGGCATCGAAAGAAGCCACATTATTTATTGAAGGTGAGCTGTATAGCGAACAACAGAGCTACTCCTTGCTTATAAATAGGGGAGCCCTTTGGCTCTTAATTCGTACCAAGCAAGTGAGCATCCTATCTCACTGGGTAAGAGAAAGAGTAGGGAGTAAAATAGAGAGTGAGAAATTTTTTCCTATTTAAGAAAGATTAGTGTTATTTATCTCCTTAAAATAGAAAAAGGTTGTAACTCCTATTTTTCTTCATAGTAAAATTCTTCTATCCCTGCCCATAGTTTTTACCATAAATTTATTAAAGAATTTTTCACGTAAATCCTTGCGTCCCTGTTTTGTTATTTCATCTCATTTTATTAGCTGCGGTTTTACTTTATCGGGCTTGTCAATTTCCCAACAAGTGGTATCAGAGGCTAACTTGGGTGTGGATATCTACTTATCGTATGCTCTACGATTGCCACTAAATAGTGGATCCTCTACATCAGAAAATAAGATAGATTATTATTTACCATTGGAAGGTACTGGGTACTATTCACGTGTACAATCACTATTCATGTGAAATAGTGGGAGTCTTGATAAAAGTAATGGCAGCAAAATTTGAGATGGAAAAGTTTAATAGAAGTAATTTCTCACTATGAAAATTAAAGATAAAGGTTATCTTGACAAAAGATAATTGCCTAGAGGCTATCAACAAAAGGCCAGAGAATATCTCAGATGAGGGGTGGAAAGAGATGGAAAAGAATGCTATTGCAAATTTTTCATCTTACATTAGCATATGAAATATTGACAAGCATAGAGGAGAAGAATACAGTAAAGGAGATTTGGGATCATCTCACCAAGCTGTATGAGGCCAAATCACTCAACAACAAAATTTTTCTTAAGAGAAAACTCTATACCCTTCAGATGGCCGAATCTACTTTGATGACAAAGCATATAAATTTTTTGAATACTCTATTTTCTCAACTCACAATGTTGGGATATAAAATAGAGTTACAAGAATATGCTGAGCTTCTACTTCAAAGTCTACCTGATTCGTATGATCAACTAATCATCAATCTAATAAATAAGAAATCTACGGATGACCTAGCCTTCGATGATGTTGCTGCATTGTATTAGAAGAAGAAAATCGGCACAAAAACAAGGAAGACAGGCAGATGAGCTCGCAATAGGCAAAGGCCTTAATGATGACAAGAGAAAGATCAACAGAACGTGGCCAAAGTGGGAGTCACAATCATGGTAGATCCAAGTCTAGAAGTTAGAAGAATTTCAAATACTACAATTGTGGTAAGAAAGGTCACTTGAAGAACGATTGTTAGAATTTAAAGAAAAATTTCAATTCTCAAGGAAATGTTGTAACCACTTCAGATGATGGAGATGCTCTATATTGTGAAGCGAAAACGATGACAGAAAGCAGAAAAAAATTACAAATATATGGCTTCTCAACTCGGGAGCTACATTTCACATGAGCTCTCGGAGAGAATGGTTACATCATTATGAACCTATATCTGGAGGATCTGTGTTAAGTTGCAATAATCATGTTTTAAAGATCGTCGGTATCGGAACCATCAAACTGAAAATGAGTGATGGGACAGTTCGCACTATTAAGAAGTGCGGCATGTGGAGGGCCTGAAGAAAAATTTATTGTCTTTGGGATAACTAGATGATCTTGGTTGCAAGGTTGAAATTGTAAACAAGATTATGAAAATAATTCGAGGCGTGCTGGTAATAATGAAGGGATAAAAGATAGCTGTAAATTTGTACATGCTAAAAGGAGAGATGCTGCAAGAAGCAGAAGCATCAGTTGCTTCAAGCAATTCAGATGAAAGAATTACTATGATATGGCATTAAAAACTTGGTCATATTTCCGAGCAAGGAATAAAAATTCTTGCCAAGAAAAAGTTACTTCCTTGTCTTACAAAGGTATCTCTACCCTTTTGTAAGCATTGTATCATGAGTAAGCAGCATCGGCTAAAGTTCAAAATATCAAATTTTAAAAGTAAAGTTACTCTAGAATTGATGCACTCTGATGTATGGCAAGCACTAGTTGTATCTCTTAGAGAAACAAAGTACTTTGTATCTTTCATTAATGATTATTCTAGAAGATGCTAGGTGTATCCTATCAAGAGAAAGGCAGATATGTTTTCAGCCTTCAAAGTTTTCAAAGCATGGGTTGAACTTGATTCTAGAAATAAGATCAAGTGTTTAAAGACAGACAATGGAGGTGAATACACTGGTGATGAGTTTGATAAATTTTGCAAGCAAAAAAGTATTAAAAGGCAGTTCACTACGGCCTACACTCCTCAACAAAATGGAGTGGTAGAGTGGATGAATAGAACCTTGTTAGAAAAAACAAGAGCTATGTTGAGGAATGCAGACCTAGGCAAGGCTTTTTGGGCAAAAGCAGTCAAGACCGCTTACTATGTAATAAATCAGGTTCCATCAACTATAATTGAGTTGAAAATACTAATAGAGATGTGGACCAAGAAGGCAGTCAATTATTCAAACCTCCATATATTTGGAAATCCTGTATATGTAATATACTATGCTCAAAAAACTACAAAGCTAGATCCAAAATCTAGAAAATGCATATTCTTAGGATATGCTGATAGAGTGAAGGGGTATCGCCTGTAGGATCCCACTGCCCACAAGGTTGTAGTGAGCAGAGATGTGATATTTATAGAAGAAAAGTTATAAAAGGAAAACAACAGTACCACAATGATACATGTGGAAAAGAAGTGTGAACAAAATGATTCTTCTGAAGCAACACCAAAACACGATGAAGCAGAACCAATTGAGTCTGTAACTCAAGAAATGCAAACGTTAAATCGCACAAGGAGACCGCCAAGTTGGCACTCAGATTATGTGATAAGGAGCAATGTTGCATACTGTCTTTTAGTAGAGGATAGGGAGCCATCAACTCTCCAAGAAGCAATGAGTACATCAGATGCATCTCAGTAGATGGCAGCAATGCAAGAAAAAATTGAAACCCTACACAAAAATAAAACTTTGGAACTTGTGCCACTACTAGAAAAAATAAAGGCCATTGATAATAAATGGGTCTATAAAATTAAAAGAAGCAGTGATGATAAACTAAAGTGGTATCGTGCTAGATTGGTGGTGAAAAGCTATGCTCAGAAAGAAAGAATTGACTTCGATGAAATATTTTCTCATGTGGTTCGGCTTACTACAATAAGAGTAATGTTGGCAGTGTGTGCTGTGCTCGACTTACATCTAGAACAGTTAGATGTGAAAACAAATTTTCTTCATGGAGATCTTGAAAAAGAGATCTATATGCTCCAACCAGAAGGTTTTGAAGAAGAAGGAAGAGAGAACTTGGTTTGCAGGTTAAATAAATCTCTGTGCGGTCTAAAATAGGCGCCAAGATGTTGGTACAAGAGATTTGACTCATTCATTATGAACCTTAGATAGAGCAAACTTAATGCAGACCCTTGTGCATATTTCAAGATATTTGATGAGAATGATTTGTTATCTTATTGCTGTATGTAGACGATATGTTGGTAGCAAGCCCCCAACAAAGATTGCATCAAAGAATTGAATGCTCAATTGGCTAGAAAATTCGAAATGAAGGATTTGGGACCAGCAAACAAGATTCTAGGGATGCAAATTCACCAAGACAGAAATAATAGGAAAATTTGGCTTTCTCAGAAAAATTATTTGAAGAAGGTCTTACGACACTTCAACATGTAGGATTGTAAGCCAAATTCTACGCCACTTCTTGTTAATTTCAAATTATCCTCTAATATGAGTCCTAGTTGTGAAGAAGA